GAAATGCACATTAAGATGAGATGATTCACAGGAGGGTTATAGAGTGGCTCTCACAGAGTCAATCTGCCATGAACATTTCTGTCTCTGTGATTAGGCGTCAAGATCACCTTCCCCTCTCCGTCTCATTACGCTACAGCTTATTTAAATCAGACATTTGCAGCAGCTCACAGATCACAATGCACATGTAATTTTGAAAATGTTGCTGAAGTTTACTCAGAAAGCAACCACCCAGATACCAGGGAATGTTCTCTTTACTTTGTCTAAAATTCTGGCAGTGTTTTCTCAAAGTTCTTCCAGTAGCGTTAATAGAACATTTGTTCAAAATACAAAGTAATACCATGTTTTTCTGGACATGCTTAATTCATCAGGTGAAAATGCAGCTTCAGTGAATAAGTTACAAGTGATGTAAGTTATTTTACAGTGAGCTGTGTGTCATTTTAAACAAAACCACCATGAAAACAAAAATTAAAACTCATTTTGGATAAAATTGGCATGCAAATAAGCAAACTTTGTGATATAAAGTGTTCAGTTTTTCCACATTTTAATCATTTTTCACATCATAACCAAACAAACGTTCCACAACCAATATGAGTTTAGTCTGTTTAAGAGACACTTTTGATTGAAAGTCTGTGTAATGACATGCTGGAAAAATGACATTTATCATCTGTTTTTTTTTTTTTTTTCATAAGAAACTCTTCAAATTCTCCAAAGAACTCTATGTTCTCTTCTGAGGGGAAGTTGTATGCAATTGTTGTGAGTTAATCTGAGAACTGGGTCATTGTTTGCAGCTTTGTCTTTACTGACCCAAATATTGCATCCAGTTGTCAGATAAGCCATCGTTCTGCCCTCCATCATCACCCCATGTACAGTTAAAGCAGTGTTTATTTCCCCACAGACACAACCCTTAGCCATTAGCCATGCTGAAACATAGTTTGGAGGCTATAATATCACAACCCAAGTTATTATAACGTGCACACCGGTCATTCCAGAGGCTCATAGCAAGAGAATAAAATGAAAAAAAAAAAACTCTCTTCAAACTAGCAGAGTTGCTACAAATACTTTAAATGGCTCTACTTTAAATGGTTGAGACTATATTCATTTAAAGAAACTTCACGATCATTTTATTTCAGACAAACGAAATAATAAAGTGGCTGAAAGCATTTTAAAAATTAGATAAATGTTTTTATTATTATTATTATTTATTATGTATTATAGTTGTTATTAATATACTGAATTCATTTTAATGTGTATATTTTTTTCATTTTAATTTTAGTTAAAGAGTCAGTCCTTTTGTTGTTACTTTTTTTTCATTCTTTTTTTTTAAATATGCCTATATATAGTTTTTATTCAAACTAATTTTCATTTGCTACAATCTGACAAACTACTTTATAATTTATGATCATTAAAAAATACAAAATTCATCGTGGTAACCTACAGAAATCACTTTATTTTCAGTATAGAGTTGCAGGTCAGTGTGAACGCACTACATTGCTTTCTCATATCCTTTAAAACATGCATTACAAATACAGATTTGGGGCTTTTTTTCTCATTTTAGTGACATACTGTCTGTTCTCAGATGCTATAGTCTGACACATTATAATTCACTGATAGTCGTCTGGGATGCTGCATTTGTGAGCAGCAGTTGTTTACTGACTGGACTTGTTTCCATGTGCATTAGAATGAAGCATTTCTCTGTTTATATAGCCTCCGCTGGCAGCGTTTTCACATGCGGTCATTTGTCTCCATTAGTGCCAAACACGCTGGCTAACGAAGCCGGTTTGCTTTCATTGCCACAGACTGTTGTGGTGGCTTTCTCTTTATTATTTAATTCACTATTTGCTCTCTTCCCGTGAGAGAGTTTCAATTATAATCTGTTTGGTGTGTGAGCGTTTCCCTTTTAATAATTCCATCAAATTTCTATGAAACTATAAAAGATGGAGGGTCATATTGAGGAAATCTCACGTTGAACCAAAAATGATGCATCCATATGAACAGATTGGGTTTCATAACGCTCTATTTCTATTTCTATTTCTGTGCTGTAATTGTTTGTTATTGGATGTCATATTGATGTTACAGCCAACAAACAAAGACTTGCATGCATTTCCCATCCAGTTATTTGTCTAGTTTTTCTCGAGCTGCAAATAGCAGTACTAAAATGCTCCTTTATGTAATATGTGAAAGAGGAATAGAAAAGTATGTGCCATTCTCAGCCTCTCAGGGGCAATTACTGTGCCAGTGAAATACCAGCTGTCATGCTGCTGTTATGAAGGCAGGGAACACATAAAAGCAGTACCATTAGGAGACCAATAGAAAACTGACCTTACCACACATTACCCAACATCCATGCCAGGACTCCAGAGTGCTTATATGACTTCATGAATCTGGTTTCCTCTCACTCATATCTGCTTAGACAATCAGTATGTTTACAAGGACAACAGTATTCTGATTGTAACACGACTAAGACAATACTCTGATTAAGAATCTACCATGTAAACAGAGATTTTTGATTAACTTAATCCAGCTAAAGTCATACTCGAAGTAAACACCAATCAAATTAAGACATGTGGAGTATTCCTATTTTAGTCGCATTATCGAAGTGCAGTATAGACATGTACACACCTTAATCACACTATTACCATCGTGTAGATGTCCATGTAAACGTACCCACAACATTCTGATGAGGCACAAACATTGTAAACCAGGGGTTCTCAATTCCAGTCCTTGCATACCACCTCTATGCACATGTTGTATAGATCGCTTATCATCTCAAACATTTGTTCTATTCGGACATCACAGGATATTCTGCCATGATTCCAGTTTGAAGGGAGCATATATGTTCCATTCAGAGAGCATTAAATTGTGCGAGACGTGAATTTTTAAATTGTATTTATTTACAGAGGTATTTTATGTCAGACTTCACATAAGTTTAGTCTGTGTGTGAAAATTACACTAAAACACTGTACTGCTCTAAAATATTGTCATATCTAAAATACAACATAAAATATAACAACACACTTCAAGTTGACATCTTCATGTAAGATCAGTATCAACTTCAGCTCATCATGAACATCCAGATCATTTGCTTTTCATTACGTAAATAAGTAAACCTTTTTGATTATAATCATTTTATTTAGCCTTTTTGCTAACTCAGGTATATTTACATTTATTTGAATGCTGATTGATGCACATTGTCCCTTTGTATATTCATAAATATATAAAAATAACAATCAAAAAAGCATTTGAGCTTGACCAGAGCAAATTTCTGAAAGTCTAATATAGCTTTTGCTCCTCTTTTATAAGTCAAGATAAAAGTGCCTGCTAAATGCATAAATGTATAACATACTTCTTTAACTTGCATCGGAAGCATATATTAATTTTATTAAAATCAGAGTTCAGCTGGAACTGCAGAACAGGAGCGAACGTCTCAGGGTTGTTCATTTCAAGCATGGCTTCACCCCACTCTCTCTGTCTGTCATATGTGCATCTGTTGTTAATGCCCGTTTGTGAGCGGTGAGTGCTCTGGGTCTTGGCATCTCACAGCTGGCACTTCTGAACAGACACACATGGCTTTCAGGAGCAGAGACAAGAGGAAACCATCCCTCAACATGAAACAGTGTAATGAAATCCCATCTGCTGCATCTCTCAAACACAGCCAGAGATAATACATGCGTTTAGTGTGCGTTTGTGCACTTTACAACACCAGCAAGATCATTATCCGAAACAATAAGCAAAAAGCAAAGTTTTGGGCTTGTAAGACTGACCTCATCTAGATACACAAACTGAGACATGATTGCAGCCAACTTTTAATGCAGTATCTCCCCACTGGAACCATTTTTGACATACAGTTACAATACACCAGCAAGTAGTGATCTTACACTTCATTTACATGTTAAACATAATCTCTATGTCAGAAAAGGCAAAGCACACACGTTCAGTCAGGGACGAGACTCCCTTGGGCTCAGACCTGTTCCTGAAGTCTGCGAGTCGGTTTGAGAACTGGACACATTAACATTTGTGAGGCCGGTTCAACTATTTTAGCACAGGTTATTCCATTTCCTTCAGCCTTACAGCTATGTTTAATATTTATGAATCTGCCAGATACGCTTGGACTGTCTGTAAGATTATAAAATACTGCAGTCTGGCTCACTGAAATGGGAGCAAAGACCAGCAAAGCAATGTGCTGCTCGAATAAACACTAGAGCTTTGCATTACAGTGTTTTATACGAATCATGGCTGCAATAAACTGGCCTGGGACGCATCAATACATATATATATATATATATATATATATATATATATATGCAGTATGTCAGGTATGAACATTTTATACATTCTCTCCAATAATATTAATATAGGTCTGACTTTCTTGGATCTAATGGTGCAATGAAGTATTCCTGGAAGGTTGTATTTACAAGTTGCAAAGGTGAAATTATGACATGTGTTTTCAAGTCTCTTTGGCCAGAGCAAGATTACAAGGTACCTTTTCTACAAAAAAAATCCAGTAAGATTTTATAACTCTACTTTCACAAAACGATGAATAAAATGTACATTTTGTTTCGCTTTTTACTGTTTTTGTTACTTGTACAAAGGTGCTGTAAATTGAATTGTTACATATTCTAGCATAATTACATCATAAATTATAAATAAATACTATTATATTTTGTATACAGACAACCTAGCTAGTTTTGTTGTAAGTAAAAAAAAAAATTAAGTTCAACAAATTTACTGTCAATAATATTTATCGCACCCGCCATATTTTCTCAGTGACATGCACCCAAAACTAAAACTCAGTGCTTTAAGAAAGTTGACATACATTCGACACACAACATATATTCGTAAAACTGGGCAATGACTGTGTTATTATAATGTGTTATTATAACTGGGCAATAAATGTTAAGTCTGCACACGCAGAAAGTGACTTTCACCTGAGAGTAGGAGCAGGAAGGGTTCATGAATGACCTTATATCGCTCCGCCTAATTGATCGTTCAGCAGACCGCATCACACGCGCCCCTCCTCCGTGTGTTCCTCCGCCGCAGCTGCGAGGCAATTAGTGCGCTCCGGAGCGTGACGAACACAAGCACAGACACCGACACCGACCGACGCTCAGGTGCCGCTTTACCGGCAGGATCTGATGAGCGATAGAGCACAAATGCGCTCGTTTGGAGAGATGCTGTGGATTATACACTCGGTGGGACTTTATGCCCAAATCAGCGCGAATTTGGCAGTGGACAACCCCGTATCTGGAAACGGTAGGTGTGAGGAACGGAAACAAACGGAATGGCATTGAGTTGAGTGTGATTTCTGGAGCATCATGAAGCAGCATGAACTGATCCTGTCTGGGTAGGAAACTCAATCAGTTTTGATCTCCCTCCAGACTTTTTTTTTTGTTTTGTTTAGTGTTTAACCTAACATTAATGAATATTTGAGTTTGAAACCATTAGCTAAAGTCATGTTTTTGAAAGTTAGGCTACTTGGAAATTAATCTTAAGTTTCTTAGGGGAGAAAAGGTTAAGATTTTTATGATAAAAATGATAATAACAGAAATAGCATTTTAAAGGCAAGCCACATTAAAACAAATACAATATTGTGAATAGCCTACAACCGACTACTGGACAGACCGGGGCAAGTTGTCACATTATATGTCACATAAGTTGTCAGTATATGTTCCTGTAACTTTAAAGTATTGAGTTAAAATTACATTTACATATGCATGTGACCTAGTTAACACCTAGTTAAAACATTTTTAAGTATAATCATTTTTGTGAATTCTGTTTTTTAATCTAAAATCATAATAGCATAATTTTTGTAATATGGATAACGACTGAACACAATAAAACCACACTGACTTTCATTAAGACAAGAGTCAATTGTACAAAATAAACTGTTGTTCTGTGTTCTCATGGCAATTTTAAATAGAAATTCGAAGTATTTTTCAAAAATGTCAGGTTGGGGGCTAGATGTCATAGTTTTTAAATTTTATAAGGAGATACATTTCTTTAAATATTAAATGGTCAAAACAATTTTGTATACTTTTTTTTTTTTTTGCTGTTTCATGAATTGTTTTGCATTTCTTAATATTTTTTGTATTTTTTTAATATTTAACTAAAAAATAAATGAAATATTGAACTTATTGTCTATGATGGTTATGGTATTTCAGAGTTTTTTTCATGTTCTTCACTGGAAGTCCTCTAATATTAAAGCTGTCTGATGTGCGGTGTGAGTTCAGCACCATGCCGAGATGTCAAGATGGACATGAGCAGCGCAAAATTCACTGTTTTCTTTCTTCTACACGGACAGCTATAGTGTCTTGACATTGTGCTGATGCTTCAGTCATGGTAACCAGTGTAGATATATTGGATATGGACTACAGCCTTCAAACAAACAGGTTAGATTTCATCTCTTGCAAAATGAAAGTGAAGGAATCCCCAGGGATTAGAAAAACAAAGCCTTAGAATTTTTGCTAGTTATAGGAATTGTTCAGATAAGAGTACTTCTTGAGCCTTTTCCTGAAAACTTCTTGAACTGTCATCCGTTTCCTCAAATTCCTTGGAAATAGTTTCACAGTCGTTTTCTAGTTATTCTCTTGAGCGGAGCGGCTGCTCTCAGGTTTACCTGTTTGGCTGTATATTTTTGTGCAACTGTGAACTTTTCCTCTTCTTTGTTCTTCTGCGTCGTGTGATTAATGCTCTGTGGATTTTTGAGATGCTCTTCTGTCTTTGATCAATACAAACGAGCATGCTGTGAATGAGCTGAGTATTGATTGTTACCTTCAAACTCTCAGATTAGCACTACTGTCCTCTCCACTGGGAGTCAATTAAAAGTTAAAGTTAGTCCTGATATCTTGTGTTTATGTGAAGTGCACAGGCGGACTGAAGAGTTTCATGTTCTGCATAAGGACCTCATACATAAGGAAGTGTTTTCTGTACAGAATTTGTCATCTCATCCACTGTAAGTTCTCGCTCTGTGTCTCAGGTCGGCATGAGCTGGTTTAATAATGTCTACAGGGGTTTTGTTGAGACAGGGGGTCCAGCTGGGTTTGACCTCTGCTGTCTGTTTTCGTCTGTATGGAGGTCTTCCTCCAACTGAGATTAAACCAATCAATCCTTTGTTGAGGTGAGAAAGAACAAATATCATGCTAGTGTCAACAACTTCCTTATTTCTCATTCATTATTTCTCATACATGCTCACTTTCGTCATTCAGGGGTAAACCTGTTGAGAATGCTGTAGTAGGTAATGCTTGCATCTCTGCAGTGAGAGAGATCTGTGCTGAAATTGCATGTCATTTACTGGTGCAGTGAAAACTAATGTGTTTTTTTAAGGTGCTTTATCTGCAATCTGAAAAATGTCACTGTATATGTCTAAATCCAAAGTTTAAGCATGTTATAACTTATATGATGTTATGGTGCCTTGGTAGCTAGTACAAAAGCTCCCAGTACAAAAAGTGAACATGTGCACACACATATCAAAACAGTGCATGGTAATAGATTTCATTAGTTAGATTTCACTTTCAATAAAACATTGCAGTTGGATTGTAAAAGGTGTTTTTATGCATCAAACAGTGAATCATTTTGCAAAGCAATTGGTAGCCAGTTTTGCAGATGTCAAATCTTGTTCCAAAGTCATTCAAAGACTAAGCAGCAAGGCCGATTAGTCAATACAATGTTCCAGTCATTCTAAAATACAAATTATACTAGCATCCACTGTATAGACAGGCACTCTACTGCAGTCTTTAACTGTGACTATGCTCACAATTTTGCTTAATATGTTATAGGGCTGTCAAAATGATTGAAAAACTAAATTCAAATTTTCTACTTAAATATGATCAAAATTCGAATTATATTCAAATTTAAAAGGCATAATTTCAGTTAGGGGGAAAAAAGCTTTTGGCTTCTCTCCTGAGGCCACAAGAGGGCGCATTGAGCAAAATATTATGCACGTTTCTTCAAAGCGTAATAAAATAACACAACTATCGTTGAAAAAAAGTGCATACTGTTTAAAATAATGTTTATAAACCATATATAATTAATAAAGTTGCTTAAACAATTAGAAAAAAACAGCACCATGCATGTATGTATAGTTTAATACAAAGGACCGAAAACCAATCACAAAGAGTAGGCTACTTTCTTCATTTAAAAACTTGAGATGCAGTGGGATGGGGGAAAAAACGCCATAACGTCTTTTGACATGTTTTTTAAAAGTTGAACTTGCATTAATTTTACATGGCTTAAAATGTGATAAATATGCGTTCTGTGTGAATGGCTTGGTTTCAGTTTTGACGTAAACAACATCTTCTCCACACTGATGCTCTCGTTTTCCGTAATATATGAATGAACAATGTAGCAGCGCCGCATCTAGTGAGTTCAACTGGATAGGCTAACAAAAGCATTCAAATGCAATCAATGAAACATACATCGTCATCGCATCTCGTGCACCACTGATAGGCTGCCTGACGGCTGACGCAGACCTTAAATTCGAATGCAACGTTTTTGCATTCTAATGTGGATTTTTTTTTTTTTAATTCGACAAATATTCGAAATTCATTTTTTTTGACAGCCCTAATATGTTAAACATAGTAAGAAATAAAGCATTACACATACGCATACAAATGCATTCACCCTTTGGGTTACAGTATGGAGCAATTATGTGTTTAACGTAGAACAGTGTAGTCTTTAATAAAAGGTTAAAAGGTAATTAATTTAACTGAATGAATCAAAAATAGGCTCAGTTATCAAATGCATAATTAACTTGATTTGATTGCACCAGCATGCAATTATGCACATGAAATTACATTAGTGCATTTCCATGGAAACACGTCTTCATGAAGAAAGAACATTCCAAGACAAGGTTCCTGGGAAATCACTCAGTCAGGGGAAGTGTACAGGATGATTTGTAAAGTACTGGCAGCACCTCCAGCTACTGTAGCGGTAATGCTGCTCTGCTGGAAACCTCATAAAAATAGAAAAACAGTCAGTTGAATCATTAATTCAACTGATTTGTTCAAAACCAGTGATTCAGTCAGGAATGAAACAAATGGCTGCTTTATAGAATGAGTCATTGAATCATTTAGCTTTTGCTGGTGGAACAAAAATGTATGTTACTTACTATTAACTTGTTCATTGAACTGTTACATAAAAGCAATATCACATGTACAATCATGCTGTTATAATAATAATAGACCTACCTTTAAATAAGCTATATACATACATACAAATAAATAAATATTTTATTGTATATAGTTTAAAGGTCAATTTTCAAGGCGAGAGTAAAAGAAAAATCCTAAATATTATACAAAAAAAATATACAATACAGAAAAAAGACAATATTATGCAAAAAAAGACACATCAACATCAAACACATGGGTGTGTTTTGCACATTTTGCAAATGCGTACAGAAAATGTGCATTTAGCAGGCACTTTTATCTAAAGCAACTTACTATAGAGTAATATAAGCAGTTCGTCCATAATCCAACAATAAACAATGCCAGGTTTATTAGAAAGCCAGATTAGGAAATGAGCTACAACAGAGAAGAAAAATAGATTTTTTAATTCTTTTTTCATGTGCATTGGAAATTCCTATTCACACAATGCCCTTCAATACTAGATGGCATTTGAGTGATAAAAAAAGAGCAATCAAAAATCCCAGTGTCAATCATGCAGTGCTTATGACGACTTCTCTAAAGAGAGAGAGAGGGCTGTAAGTGATGCCACAGGTGATCCATGAGTGTGATGAAGCACATACAGTTTCAGCAATCAAAGTGTGTTAAACAGACTGATGTAAGAGCGAGATGATGGAGTCTGTGTTACTGCTGGGCAGATCGGCTCTCAGACAATAACACTGCAGCATTTTAAACTCTGGATAATTACCTTTATACCAACTGAATGGAGACTGTGCATATTAATGACCAGAGGAACTGTAGGATGCACAGACTTTCTCTCTCCAACAAAGAAAACAGATGGTCATGGTGTACATTCTCATTACAGAAACAAAGAGCAGAAATCAGGGAGTAATTACCAAAATGCAAAGGGAAAAGACATTTATATGGTGTGTGTGTGTGTGTGTGTGTGTGTGTGGAGCTGGTTGGATATAATCTCAATATGAAACATACTGTACAGAGTACAGACCAAAATGGCTCAGTTGCACTACAAAACAATGATTATTAGAGTATATTTTGCAAGAAATTATCATTTTAGTCTTTCTTCTTCAAATTTTACCTTTAATTTGATGTTAACCGCTGTTTCTTTGGACACTTTTGTGAAATTGACTAAATTCACCACCATTGTGTGCATTTTCATAAAATGTGAGTCATTTTATTGATAATTTAATCAAAATATCTCCTGTAATTATTATTGTTGATAATATAAAAATCCACTACTTAATTTTGAAAAATAAAGCATTTTATTTTAATATAATGGCATATTATCAACATTTCTGCATACATTGAACGAGGATTTTTTTTCTATGAATTTTGTTCAGCAGCTATATTTTATTCATAGCTTAATTAAAATATGACAAGTAATATCAATATAATATTACTAAAAATAATCTACCACATAACTTAGTTCATTAGCTTATTATAGGGTGCAGCAAATTGTTTATCTGCATTTTTTAAGTTTTATTGCTCAGTCAGAATTTAGATTCAGATCAGTTTTATAATGTACGATTCTATCTACTTCTATGCACATATATTGTACAATGCAATACTAATACAATGCAATGTACAGTTTCCACTGCAGTGCATAAACTGACACAGTACTGACAGATTATAGATAGATATGAAAGCAAATGTTTCTGATATGCAGTCAAACATAAAGCATACAGCAGACGTGTGGAGTGTGTCAGGAGATGAGACGAGTTTCACAGTGTCCATCCCTGGGGTTAGAAGAAATCTGCGAAGTCTGAGCGGCTCAGTGCTTCAGTTCTGCTGGAATTGCATTAGTCTCTTTCAAGCCTGCAATTCAGACAATTACTCGCTTATATCCTGAAAGAGAGAGTGACTCTAATCTGCAGTGGCTTTTAAAACCCCAGTTTGGACACTTCTTGCTTTTTTGTTTGTCATTATTCTTCATTTTTAAAAACAATCAAAATTATGATGACAGCTATGATTAGTGTAGGTCTATCAGAACTGACAGTGATCCTAACGAGAAAATTTGAAACCAAAGTTGCATGTTTTAAATTTTTTGCTTCTATCTGCAGTGGCTCAGAGAAAAAGTTTTGAAAAGAGTTCTGAAAAAGTGAGGAAAAAAAAGAATTGTGTAAATTCTGCAAATTGCTTTCTTTAAGAGGCAGTTTGCTCATTTCTGTTTATAAGCAAGTTAATTGAGTGACTTCATGTATGCATTCAATGGATGTCTTTGTGTATGCTTTTTTAGGAGTGGAAACAGTATTTTTGCAGTGCAATCAAATGTCTGGCTGTTGAGCAGATTCTATTCACAGTAAGAATGTTAGTGTCATCCTTCATCCTAATGAATGTCTGTCACAGACAGACAGAGAGAGAGAGAGAGAGAGAGGGAAGTGGTGGAGGTTTTACAGTGGCCTTTTGTTTGCAACAGGACTTACTTTTCAAATTAATTGAGTTTTTTAATTATATCCTATAATCTGTAATTATATTTTTAGTATTTTGTGGACATTCTGGGAATTTCTGGCTCCAGCTGCTTACTAAAATGTTGGAAACAATTTCTGAACCATTTAAACAGACAAGCATATAAATCCTGACTTCATTTTCATTTCTGTATGTTTGTTTCAATGTTATTTTTGTATCATTGCGATACTAAAATAGTTTTTCTATTATTTTAATATCAGGGTTTTTTTTTTTATTTCCATGTTCGTTTTAAAGTTTTAGTAATTTTGTTGTGTTTTGTTTTTCATTATAGTTTGTCATTTTCAATGTCTATAGTTTTTATCGAGTTTATTATTCATTTTATTAAGTTTATTTATTTTAGTACATCAAGTTTTAATCAAGCTAAATTAAAATGAAAAATGTAGACTTTGCAACTCACTTTCAATTAACATTTATGAGTAATAAGTAAGTCATAAGTAACAAAAAAATGCAAGTTTTTAGTTTTACCCCGTTCACTACAATAAATATTTTGAATATTAAGCCTTTTTCTTTCTACTTTAATATGAATAATGTACAGCAAAATAATACTTTGGAATGGAATTTATTATTATTATTATTACTCTTAATTGTTTAAGTTTTAGATGCTATATCAGTTCACTTAGCAAAATGTGAAATATAATCGGACGCATTAGTTTACTGTATGTCTCATTTCTAATTACCTAGACAGCAGCTTGGGACAACATGGCACATTAAATGTTAAGTATGAATGTGAATTTTGACCTTGATATGATGATCAATGAGAAAAGCCGGAGAGGAGACGGAGAGCACAGAAGACGAGACGGTGGATGAGAGCAGCTGTTGTGTTTATGCAGATTAAGCATGACTTTTGTTTACTTTGTTTGTGTACTAGTGCTGCATGGCTTCAAAATGCTGGCCATGCTTGAATCATAAATGTGGTATTTTGAGGTTTGTTGACCGCAATGCAGTTTTATATCCCTTAGCTAAATTATCAGAACATCTTCAAAGCTCTTCAAAGTTCTTTGATGCCCAAGCAAATGTAATAGGCCTAGTTTCATTTTTCCCATTAGATATTTTTAATATTTACAGCACAGCATTTCCAAACAAGATGCCTAAACCATAATGTAAGAGTGGTTCTACTCACAGGAATTGAATGTGTGAAAAATGTCTTGAAATAAATCAAAAATGAAGTTTGAACTGAATTGTCCTTAATTGGCATTGATGGTTCTATGAAGAACCTTTAACATCCATGGAACCTTTCCATTCCAAAAAAAGGTTCTTTATAATGAAAAAAAAAGGTTCTTTAGATTTTCAAAATGTTCTTTACACTAGGAAAAAAAGTGGTTCTTTTAAAAGTGCTGTATGTAATTTTTTGACTGTACTAAAGCATAAAAACGCTATGTTTGCAGATATTATTTAACATGCTGTTTACATGTTGAAAAAAAAATCCACTTTGAAATTTGAGTTCTGTGTGGGGAAGTTTTTGTTTTGGTCTGTGTGACTCCGCCCCAATGCCAATTTACCCAATAGTATTTTGACACCCCGGGTTGCCAGATGGTGGAAAACACAACATACTGCAGTCATGGAATCCGCAAAAAAACTGGGCCAGAGATCACAGATTCTACACAACCTAAAAAGCCTCAGCATCCATCCAAAAAAGTTCTGTGACCAGAGGAATTAAAAGATAAATCAACTCATCTGCTTGAGGCTTGTCACCTTTCGCTGTCGGTTGTGCTCATTCCTGTTGCGTGTCTTCAATCTGTCAACCCACGTGAGCATTGAGTCTTTTTCATTTCAACCGCTAGCTGTCAATTTAACATGCTGCACCTTTAAACCTGATCACTGAAAGGTTCTTTGAGGAACCAAAAATGGTTCTTCTATGGCATCACTGCGAAAACCCCCTGAAACGTTTAATTTTAACAGTGTAGGCTATTTAAAAAAAAAAAATAAAAAAAAAATAGAATCATCTGTTGTCAATTATCCCTTTATTATTTCTTTTAATATTAGTTTTTGTCTCTGCCTAGATTTTTTTTGTGCAAAACTCCAAAAACGTAACACTCGAGCTAGTAAAACACCAACAACTTTTATTCCTTTTCACCTGAAGTACGATTACAAGAGTACATTGACAATTTATAACGACTTTCATGTGGTTCCTTGCACAATAGTTCAGTGAGAAATAAATATCAGAAATGAATGAAGACATGGAGAACATTAGTTTGCTGAAGCAGTTTCTTAGGAGAACGTTTTAGTCCCTTTAGGCAATCGGCAGACACACAGACTCTGTGTGTGTGTGTGTGTGTGTGTGTGTGTGTGTGTGTGTGTGTGTGTGTGTGTGTTTTATACCAATGAATTAATTATATTGTTTGTCCTCAGATGTGTCTGCTTAATTATCTCCAGACCTTTTTGCAATTAATTTGTTTTCCTGTGCATCGGACTGTCAGACCTTTAAACACACACAAGCACTCACGCACACACGCACACACACACACACACACACACACACACACACGACTGAAAGTATCTGTGTGAAGAGATTAATGGAACCAGTTGCTGTTAAAGAGCAGGATGACTAATGGTCAATAAAATGCATATAGCATCAAGTGTAGATTAAAAAATGTCTGTTTCTCTTCAGCTCTTTTCACCGAGGTTCCTCAGGACATGGTCTCTCAGGCTGGAGATGATGTGGAGATGGCCTGCTCCTTCAGAGGCGCTAGTTCCTCCTCCGTCTCCTTGGAGATCCAATGGTGGTACACCAGAGACTGGGCGGAGCAACCATCGTGGACAACCAATCAGGAAAGCCTCTATTTATTTGTTCAGATGTTTTTTCGTGACCTTATTTTATATATGTACAGTTTGGTCTATATATATTTGGACACAGGCAAAAATGTTATTATTTTAGCTGTTGACCAAAACATATTCAAGTTATAATTATATAATGAATATGGGCTTAAAGTGCACACTCTGAGCTTTAAGAAAACGCCATTTCATGGACAAATGTGGGCTATTCCTTCATTATTTCTACATCAATTAAGCAGGTAAAAGGTCTGGAGTTGATTCTAAGTGAGCCATTGGCATAGGGCAGCACGATAAATCGCATGCGATATTTAATGCGCATCTTGTCAGTAAAGCCGGTTCTGTAATCAGCGGTAAATCTCCATCACCTGCGGGCTTTCACATGGAGCAGCATTTACTACACAGAGAACAACGGCTCTGTGTAGTAAATGCTGCTCAATGTGAAAACACGCACGTGTTAAGCTCCAGACTTAAGGTCATTGCCTGCAAAGGATTCTCAACAAAATATTAAAAATGAACATTTTATTTATGATTATATTTGTTTGCCCAATTACATTTGAGCCCCTGAAAATAGGGGGACTGTGAATAAAAATGGTTGTAATTCCTAAGCTTTTTATGTTATATTTTTGTTCAACCCCTTAAATTAAAGCTTAAAGTCTGCACTTCAATTTCATCTTGATTGTTTCATTTTTATTCTATTCTGGTGGCATACAGAGCCAAAATTATGAAAATTGTGTCAGTATACAGATATATATAGAGATAACTGTGTATGTATACATATATGTGACCCTGGAGCACAAAAGCAGTCTTAAGTCGCTGGGGTATATTTGTAGCAATAGCCAAAAATACATTGTATGGGTCAAAATTATTGATTTTTTTATGCCAAAAATCATTAGGATTTTAAGTAAAGATCATGTTCCATGAAGATATTTTGTAAATTTCCTACCGTAAATATATCAAAACTTAATGTTTGATTAGTAATATGCATTGCTAAGAACTTCATTTGGACAACTTTAAAGATGATTTTCTCAATATTTTGATTTTTTTTGCACCCTCAGATTCCAGATTTTCAAATAGTATTCAGCTTTTAGATGTATAAATTTCAATTTTGAAAAATTGACCCTTATGACTGGTTTTGTGGTCCAGGGTCACATATACAATTAAACACTTAACTTTCATTTAGAATGTGTGTCTACAGGTGGTTTCACAGGAAAACAAACCAAAGGGAGCGACTAAAATAAGTGTGAGTTTTGCATTTTGAAATTTCTCTCAATTTGACAAAATGTAAGTGCTTAATGGTCAGGTTTACATATGCATTATATTCTGATTTGATTATATTTTGCTTCTTCTGACATATATTCTGACACTTCACATCTCTTCACAAATTCACATCAGCACATTCTGATCAAACTAAGATTTGTTCGTGCTATTTTCTTGTTCAAATTAGTCACTTTAGCTTATTCTTTTAATATTAATTTTTTAGTAATTCTGTTGCAATTTAATCATCTCATTAATTCTTATTCATGTTTTTGACAACAACAAACAAAAGTGCAACTAATTGCAAAATATAGACCATGAGGGTGTTTCATGTGTCAGTTTATTCATTATATTCATTAATTTAACTTTTTGTGAGAGAATGTCGCTCCAAACATGCTTCTTCAGTAGATGTACTCATTTTAATTGGTGCACATAAACATGATTGCTTTTCTTAATTCCCAAACGGAATTAGCTTCAAGGGACTTGCTTTGTTAGTCGAATGTTCTTGTTCAATAATCATATTTGTGTTTGTTTTAAGGTGGTAAAAGTGGTTGGCAGCAACATCTCACATAAGCTTCGTCTGTCTAGCGTCAGAGCATCAGACGAGGGAACGTACGAATGTCGAGTCACTGACTTCAGTGAAAGCCGAGCCCAGCAGCACAGAGTTCAGGCGTATCTGCAGGTACAGCCAGACCTCCAGCAGGAACACCAGAGTCCCGTCCACAACAGAGACCAGAAGAAAGAAGAGGAGAAGAAGACATCAGAGCAGAACGCAGGTCCTGAAGATCATCAGAAGAGCCACCATAAGAGAGAAGAGCAGAGTACGCAGCAAGTGGCCTATCAGTTTCATGAAGAGGATCATCATCAGCTCCACGAGGGGAACAAGACAAACACCAATCAGAGAGCAGAGATTTGAAGACAGAGTGACTGTCCTGCTGAAAACTGCACACGAGAAGAGAGACGTGTCAATAAAACTAGAACAGTGATGTTACGAACCGTATCCTGACACAAGTTGTCCACATAATTAGTCTTAACATTAGTTTGATTGCAAACTGAAATTGTTCCGATTTGTGTTCTATAAAAAGGAACCAGCAATGTGTCGATTTAAAGGGATAGTTTGCCTAAAAGTGATTAAAAAGTTTTTAAAATTTAACCTACTCACCTTTGGAACCAATTCTGTTTGCTAGTCATCTTAAAAACACTAGGCAGTCAGCAAAACCTTTGTTTTCTTTGTGTTTGATGTCAGTTTAAAAGTTTAGGTTTTACTCCGGCTACACCTCTTTGGATTTTTCTGGTCATGTGGTCACCATAAGGAGAGGAGAAGAATTGAATGAATAACACAGCAGCAGAAATGAGAGGTGATTATTAATGACTGAGAAGAAACGAAGAGGGTGAATTTAGCTGCGGGGCAGAGAGTGAAATGTTCATTTATTCATTAGAGAGGAGGGACAGACTGAATGTAATATATTGTTTATGTTGGTGATGTTTACCTTTACTGATCTATACTCCTACACATTTTATTTGTATGTGATTTTCATTTGTTTAGCTTGTATCTTGACAAAAATGTGTTGCGCACAAGATGGCCAATGGCTAGTGTGTGTGTGTTTTATAAGACTTTGAAAGAGCTACATTTCTAAATGGGCTTTTCCATTAATGTTAAACAGATGTTCTGCAGTTTTCTGATGTTAAAGTGATTTTAATGATGCATCTTCTGTATATCTGCTTTGTTCTGCTTTAATGTTTCAATTATGTAACTTTATTGAATTTATAAATATATTGTCACTTGTTTCAATTAAAAAAGTCATATAAACCTATTAAAAATAATTGCAAACATTCTACATGTGTGGAATGATCAAGGTTCTCAAACCTTGATTGACTGTATTGTGTTCAAAAATATGATGCATGTCTGTATTTGATGCATGTTTTATGTTGAGTCTTGTCACAACAGGCTTCTTTGAACACGTGCATGATGCAACACTGCCATCCTCAGGATCAATCTATAATCTTCAGATTCATATTTAGATGATCCCTTTACTAAAAATGATCGTTTATTTAATATAAAGGAAATTAATGAGCAATATCAACGTCCCAGTTTGAAACTACTAGTGTAACATGTTTAAACTGGTGCTTTAAGTTTTGCAGACTGACCAAGAAAACACCATGAATTTTTAGCACTTTTGAATTAGCGCCGAATTGCATGGCTCTGTTTCAGTGGAAGGCTATTTCTGTGCCAGTCTGTGTGTGTTGTATGGCTGTGGAATGAATTTGGTTGTGCCACGAATATTATTGCTGTGTTTGAGGGAATTAATGGAGCGTTTCCAAACGAATTATAAAACTAACTAGTGCTGTCAAACGATTAATCGCGATTAATCGCATCCAAAATAAGTTTTTCTTTACACAATATAAATGTGAATACTGTGCATATTTATTATGTATATATAAATACAAACGCATGTATATATTTATGAAAAAAATTAATATATAAGTATATTTATATAAAATATAAGAATATAAATGTATATACATGTAAATATTTTTTTAAATATATACTGTATGTGTGTGTATTTATATACACATAATAAATATACACAGTACACAAACATATATTATGTAAACAAAAACTTTTATTTTGGATGCGATTAATCGTTTGACAGCTCTAAAACTAACATGCTCAGGAGCAGGAGCTATAATTGCTAATTTTGGATTAAGATAATTTCTCCCTTTGACCAACAGAGTTCAGCTGGATAACGTCATTTGAAGGATCGTTCACCATAAAACTGAAATTCTGTCAGTAATTACTCTCCATCACGTGTTTTTAAGCCCAGATACACAAACCACAACCTACATCAATGAAAATGGATTTGTTTATTAAAGACTGATTTTTGTTAAAAGCTTTTTAATGCCTTCAGGTATAAGATAAATGTGAATCAACTGTCAGCTTGTAGAATGAAAGAACCTCTTTGGAATGTTTATGCATTGCAATACAAACATAGAATTACACAAAAAGAAATAGGCTTTCTGATATGATTTTTTTTTAATCCAAAGCAAAACGATTTAGAAAAAGTCGATTTTGCTGACTCTCAAAAATTTCACTTCAAATATCAATAATTCAAATTTGATTCTTCATGGTGTGAGCCCTTTAAAATGAAACAGGCTAAAAACACTCCATTCAAGATTATAGCATAAATGATTTTTAAAGAAAAAGTCACAGCTGAATATAAAGATATATGAAGCAAAAACATAAAAATTGCATGTAAAATGTTTACTCTCTCTTCTAAAAATCTGGTTAAATTGCCGTCTCTTCCATGCGTCCTTTTCATTCTTGTTTTTACAGCATGATATTTCCCACAGTGCAATGTGGCTCCAAACACATCCAGGAATGTGCATGTTTCAATGTCCTGAAATTGAAAAGATGTCTTGAAATTTCTTATCATACTGTGTATTGTGAAACATAGCGTGCGTGTACAGTGCATACAGCTGCAGAAGCCCAGCTTGCCTTTTCACATTCTTAGAAAAATACAGTATATAAAAGATAACGTGATACTCTGCGAATACTGACAAGTACATGGAAAAATAGACGATTCGCATTCCGTTCTCTCATTTCCCGATGATAACGTTCTTGTATCCTCTAACGTGGCCCAGCTTGTCGCTGTCAAAATCCACCACGAGTTTGCGCAGGCCGGACTGAGTGGGAGTGAAGTAGATTTTGACTTTGGCCTCCTGCCCGGGTTCGATGGGTGACTCCAGTCTGAGACGAATAAATATTTACATTAGACATCACACAGATTTGATTCTTTTCTTATTCCTTGTCTGCATAGTGTTCATTCAAATACAAGCTAACAGACACTAGAAAAGAACAGCGTGAAGAGTATCCTCACTGTTTAATGTGCAGTCAGCATTAGAGACCACACTAAAAAAATCTGGGAATAATGTTAAAACAGAAACAGTGTGATGATAATAAAGTGATAGTGAATTATTCAGTCACATGATGTGCTGAGTTGCTTGCTATGTGTTTTAATTATAGTTCATTGGTTTTAAGTTTTATGGATTATTTAATGGATATAAGCTGCATATTGATATAAATTATATGTTGACATGAATGCTTCATTTTACAGTGCTGTTCTACATGTACACATACACTACAACATTATTTTTTGAAAATAATTGGAGCGTTTTACAAGAAGTAAATTCACATTTAATTCAATGTGTTACTTGCAGTTTGTAATTATTTGTCAAATTGATTAGTGAAAATTGTTTCTAAACCTTTTTTAGTGTACATACTATTATTATTGCAAGAACTAGATAATTAGTAGTATTAACCTAATCCTAACCTAAACCTTATCCTTAATGTAGTTACTTTATATTACTGTGTTCATACAATCATCAATATCAGTCTGTATCAATTGTTTAAAATTAGTTAAAATATTATATATAACATATAATTATATATAATGCAAGTTTGCCTCTAAAACATATTATATATAAAAAAATTATATAATTATATAATTAATATACTTAAAATGTTATATAAATATAGGTATTAACTGAACCTAACCCTAATGATCTTAAGCCATGTAGTTACCTTATATGTGACCCTGGAGCACAAAACCAGTCATAAGGCTCAATTTTTCGAAATTGAGATTTATACATTGTCTGAAAGCTGAATAAATAAGCTTTCCATTGATGTATCGTTTGTTAGGATATGACAATATTTGGCTGAGATACATCTATTTGAAAATCTGGAATCTGAGGGTGCAGAAAAATCTAAATATTGAGAAAATTGCCTTTAAAGTTGTCCAAATGAAGTTCTTAGCAATGCATATTACTAATCAAAAATTAAGTTTTGATGGTAGGAAATTTACAAAATATCTTCATGGAACATGATCTTTACTTAATATCCTAATGATTTTTAGCATAAAAGAAAAATCTATAATTTTGACCCATACAATGTATTTTTGGCTATTGCTACAAATATACCCCAGCGACTTAAGCACAGCACAGTTATTGAGTTCTTACTTCTCTGCGATGCTGCTGCCGCCGGTGAGGTTTGCGCCCTCGATGGTGAAGCAGCAGCCTTGTAAGGGTTCTGGCAGCGGGTTCTGTAGGGTGAGCTCCGCCGCCAGCTTACGCTTCTCTTTGGGTTCTCCCAGAATCTGGAACGACACACATACATCAGCATGCATCTGACAGTGCGTACCCAAGATAGGGTTGTCATGTCACCTTGTGATCACTGTGAAAGTGGTTAATGTGGTCGCACCCTGATTTTGATCTCGGGGTCGTCCAGCACGATGTCACGCATGGCCATGACGGCTTCCTTTGTGCTGTAGTCGATCAGCAGAGCGCCCAGACGGATGAGATTGTCCTCCGTTAGATTAGTACAGTATTTACTGTAGTTCAGGCTCAGAGGAACCTTCCTCTCTGGAACAAACACACAACACAGTGAAGACGCACACTATAGTATATGCATAACACAAAGCATCTACACAATTTATAATATCATAAATAATATTGCATGTAAATTGAGTATCAATTATGTTCTATGTCTTATTATATTATTACAAATATTAAAAAGGTTAAATAATAAATAAATGAAAATCAATAAAAAACATTATTACTACTATTATTAATAAATAATATTAAATGGCTTGTGTGTGTTATATATAAGTTTGGCTCTAAAATAATAATAAATATAAGAATAAATGTAATAATAAATGTAAGAAAAATGTATTAGTTATTGTTATTGCTAAGAATAATATTAATTAAAGCATGTACACAATTCATATATGAAGACTTCAGATGCAAAAACCTCTGAGTCCGTCTGAGATTTTTTCTTTTAAATGAGCACTTAAAAAAATCTTGGACTGGAGGTTTTCGCATCTGAAGTCTTCATATATAAATAATGTACATGCTTTAACTAACATTATTATTAGTAATATATTACTACTACTGCTAATAATACATCTAATTTGATAATTTTCCTTTTAAAATAACCTTTATTAAAAATAGGCATTGCCACTCTAGACCATGCATTACAATGACTTTACTAAGGCTAAAAACATACTCCATGCATATGCAAATGTGACCCTGGAGCACAAAAGCAGTCTTAAGTCGCTGGGGGATATTTGTAGCAATAGCCAAAAATACATTGTATGGGTCAAAATTATAGATTTTTCTTTTATGCTAAAAATCATTAGGACATTAAGTAAAGATCATGTTCCATGAAGATATTTTGTAAATTTCCTACCGTAAATATATCAAAACTTAATTTTTGATTAGTAATATGCATTGCTAAGGACTTCATTTGGACAACTTTAAAGATGATTTTCTCAATATTTAGATTTTTTTGCTCCCTCAGATTCCAGATTTTCAAATAGTTGTATCTCAGCCAAATATTGTCCTATCCTAACAAACTATACATCAACGGAAAATGTATTTATTCAGCTTTCAGATGATCTATAAATCTCAATTTCAAAAAATTGACACTTAAGACTGGTTTTGTGCTCCATGGTCACAAATGTGTATGTGCATGCTTGGCCAATGCATTGCTAGCATGCAGTCTTGTTTTACATACTCGGGTTGAAGCAACCAAAGTGCAGTACTTAAGGATGCTGAAAGAGTTTTTTCAAATATCTGTGCACAAAATGTAGTTCTGGCCGCTCACCTCCTCCAGGTGCCAGTTCCACATTCAGCAGGTCTT